AAAATAATAGTGTTTTATCATCAACTCTGTCTCTTCCATATCTCAGACTCTTAGAAGGCATTTTAGATACCACTTTGATAAAATTAAACTGAGAAGGCTCAAAAATCATGTTTTCCAAAGTATATTCTGAAAAGTACTGCTCCTTTTCGATATTCCATGGGGAAAAAAATCTCTGTAGTCAGAAGAATCTGGGAGACCTCAGCTAAGGCCGCGTCCTCGAATTTCACAATTTGCATGAATACCGCATACTCTCAAAGCCTTTTGATTAACTAAACAAAGAAAAAAGAAGCAAAGAACCTCAAGCTGTGTGACCTCAGAATACTGCCTCCCCAACCCCCTGGCCTTTTCCCCTCTCTTGAGATTCAGATAGATGGTGCGGTGTCAGAAGCCACTCCCGTCATTAAGCTGTAGAATGCAGAGTTGGAAGATCCCTTACAGATAAGTCTTTCCATTTTACGACCGACCGAGCTGGGGATGCCTCCTCCACACTGGGGGCTGGGACCGCGGGGGCCAGGGCGGAGGCGGCCCAGGCTCAGAGGCCAGTCCTGCTGTCCGCCTGCCTTGTGTTAGAGTGCTCATCTGCTGGACAGAATGAGCCAAGGGGATAGCAGATTTATTTCATTTTAAGAGGGTGAGTTGTTCCATGTATATTTATAAAAAAAACAGATTAGGGTTTAACACCTTTAATTCCTTATCGGGGAAAAGAGCTGTCAGTTGCATTGGAGCAACAGAACCTGTACTATATCGTGTGTCTGGTTGGAGAGGAACATCCCCCTCTCTGCGCATGTGAAAACAGGTGTGAGCTTCTCCTTTGTCTGTGAAAGCAGTCTCCCAGCCGACTCGTGATTTTAGTGATTTTCACTTGAATTTCCCACCCCTCTGCGTGCCTCGCCAGAGGGGGAGCCAAGGTGCGTGTGCTCAGTCGTGTTCACCTCTTTGCACCCCGTGGACTGTAGCCCACCAGGCTCCTCTGTCCATGGGATTCTGGGCAAGAATAGTGGAGTGGGTTTCCACGCCCTCCTCCAGGGGACCTAACCCCACTCAGAGAATCAAACCCGGGTCTCCTGTGTTTCCTGCATTGGCAGATTCTTTACCACCGAGCCAGCTGGGAAGCCCCTAAAACACATTTCTTACTCTAAAATTCTGACCTAGTATACAACTGTTTAAAAAAAGAAAGCCTCATTATTGTAGAGTGCTAGTGTGACTCCCATACTGAAACTTACTTATGAATTCCCATTATAAATGGTGGAGTGTGATTATGTCTGGTTCCTTTAGGTTCACCTCATTATTGTAGAGTGCTAATGTGACTCCCATATTGAAACTTACTTATGAATTCCCATTATAGGTAGTGGAATGTGGTTGTGTCTGGTTGCTTTAGGTTCTGAGATTTTAGAAATCTAACTGCATCTTCATGCCATAGCTTCAAATGGAGTAGTGTTTGAAGGAGCAACATGAATTATTAAATTTATCATCTACGCCAGCCACGTGGTTCTTTGTATGTAAAGGGTGCGGATACCTGGGCAAAATTAAACTTTTATCACCGCTGTCTCCTCCAGACACAGCAGAATGTTAGAAAGGGTTTCAGCCTGGGATAAAACACTGCCCTTTTGAGGGTAGATTTTAAATGACTCACTGCACACCCACACCGCACATTCCTATGGGATTTTGCTGCCTTCAGAGAATACTGCCTTTAATAAAAGTGTGTGATTTGGGGGGGTAAATAGATAGGCAGTAAAGATGGCAAACCATGCGGTTTTCTCCAGTCTTTGCAAGTGGTTTGGGTTTACGTGGTGTTGCATTTAAGCCCTGGACCTCCAGTTTCTCATGGGACCATTCTCACATTTATAATGCGAACCACGTAATCCCACTTTATTTCTGTGGCACCACTGCAAACACAAGAGCTCGCTTTTTCCAGGTGCGCTTAAAACAACTGACTGTATCAGGGAAACCGGGCAGGATAATAAAAAGGAGAGTTGGGATGCCAAAACCTGGTTTCTTTGGACCAAAACATGCAGATGAATGGTCCCATCCTCTAAGTAAATGTTTCATTTTCTTTTTTCTTTTTTTTTAAATGTTTCACTTTAAACTGTGAAAGTTCGCGCTATATTTCCGTACATGGTGGCAGATGTGTAAAGTAACACACTACTGATGGAGGCAGCGCCATGCTGGGGTCCTCAGTTTCCCCAGAGGGCGCGCGTGCATGTGTGTGCGCGCGTGTTGTGAGTACTTCTAGAGGCTTGGGGTGGGGGGATACCTGTGTTTAGTGGGTGGGCTCAGGGATGCTAAACCTTCCATAGTCCTTGAGATGGTCTTGCAGAAGGAATGCTTGTACTGCCCAGAATAGCATAACCCCCAGCCCCTGTGAGGGACGTGAGGAGGCTGGGGACGTGTGTGAGTAGGCACACACACGTCCAGTCCTGCAGGGCAGCTTGACGGGTCTCATTCATATGGTGTTCACCCGCGTGTTTAGCTGTCATGAGTTCTCCCGTCTTGACCTTGGTCTCAAGATGGTTGACTGTGTGCAGTTATTGAAACACGCATATTCTGATCAGAGTTACCTTGACTTTGTAATGTTGGGGGTTGTCTGAAAATGTTGGTGCCTCCCCGAATTCGAACTGGGGCCCGTTGGTTGCTCCTTCTGACGGGGCTGTTGGGGAGACGCCTGCCTCCTGCTACCGGGCCGGCCAGGCCGGTAATCAGAAGAGCTTCTCCGGCTCGCCGGCTGTGTTCCAGGTCCTGCACCAGATTGCAGGGTTGCCAGCGTGCCGGGCTCGGGGAAGTTCCTGGAAAGACCAGGCCAGGTGACACTTGGCACAATGTCTCACTGGAGCTGCTGAGGGTGATTTTAAGTCCCTGTGACAGAAGGAGCAGTTTTTGCAGGTTTCACAGACCCTCCTGATAACACTTAATTTTTAAGAAGTTCACTTTATATGTACCACTGGCTTGTTACAGCTAACCTTAGTAAAAGTATTCATTTTGTGGATTATTGCTTTTTCAAAGAGTTGTGTGAACTTGAGTCAAATGTGAACCTGCTCAGAACCTTAAAATAGTTTTTTTCCCCCTAAATTCCTGTTAATAAGTTTGCAAAATGGTTAAAAATGGTGTGATCACTTTTTTATGTTAATTATTAGCATTGGTCTCAGGAGGTAACATTTTCCCTCTTCCTCAGGTTTAGAGATGATCAAGGTTTAGAAGTTAAGAGTCTAAAGTGTGAGCCTCTGGTCTTTTGTATTCGTCTCAACCAGGGAGAAGGCAATGGCACCCCACTCCAGAACTCTTGCCTGGAAAATCCCATGGACGGAGGAGCCTGGTAGGCTGCAGTCCATGGGGTCGCTAAGAGTCGGACACGACTGAGCGACTTCACTTTCATGCATTGATTGGAGAAGGAAATGGCAACCTACTCCAGTATTCTTGCTGGAGAATCCCAGGGACGGGGGAGCCTGGTGGGCTGTTGTCTATGGGGTCGCACAGAGTTGGACACGACTGAAGTGACTTAGCAGCAACCAGGGTAGAAGCTTTGGGCCCACGTTGTCTGGTCCTCCAGTTTCTGAGTCAGTAAAAGAGAAAGAAAAGCCTGTTTGAGGTCCAACATTGGTCAGCCCCCATCTCCCCACTGTAGTCACGAGTGTGGCATTCGTTGTAGGCTTATGAGTGTAACCTGGAGCTGCGTTTGTTCCAGAATGTTTGAGTTTGGGGCTGCTTTTCACATCTCTCATACATGCCCTTGGAACCATAATTGAGAGACAGACTTACATTATTTTGTGCTTCATAACAGCCATTTAGTGATTTCTTTAAAATATCACTATAAGGAAAAGGAAGAAACTTAGGCTTTATATTTTAATAAACTTGAAGACTCTAAAATTTGCCTAGTCTTGCTTCTCAGTAAACTTCACTTCTTGAATGTGTAGACTTGAGATTGGGAGGAAACTTACTAAAATCTGGGGCATTGTGCCTCCCTTCTGTGTTATATCAGGTAGAGAACCTTTCAGACAGACTGGATGTATGTGTCCATCGTCACAGTTTGGAATGTTAGGGAAAAAACTATGTGAACAAAAATTAGTCTTTATGACTTAGAGTCTATGTATCCAGCCAGGGCATGACACATGTCCTGAACTTATATCAGGAGGCTAAATAATAAGTTATCTGTGTCCTCATTACATTTCCATCTGAGTGGGATGAATTTGGAATCTATGTCTATCTGCTGTTTATGTATTTCACTTGAAAAATGATGAGAAGTAGACATTTCTTAAGCACCATAGTTGCTGTGATATTTTCCTCCGGGATCGTGATACAAAGTAGCTAGATTTGTATGTTTTTTATGTGCTAGCGAGTTCTGGGTTTTTTCAGGTGATAGATTTGAAAATTACCTGTAAGTAAATGTTTTTAAACCACCAACAGTATGGCAGCATTCGATGACATTTTTTCCAGCCTTCCCATCACTCTTCCTGTCTTAGTAATGCTTCTGTGTTTTTCCTGCCTTCATAATTATCATTTTGGATTCCTACACAGCACTCTGTCCTCCTGGGTGCGTCTGCAGCCGTTTACCCATCTCCCTCCACTGTTTAGGAGGTCTCTGAAGTTGTACAGAGGCTTCTCTCCTCCTATCACCTGCAGACTTGGTATGGGTGCCCGGGGGACTCACGGACCTGTCGTAGGGGTCAGAATGTGAGATGGTGTGTGCAAAGTGTGTTAACAGTCATCAAAGTATCTTTGTAGAAAAACAGCTTAGACCTAAGTGTGAGTGTGCTTTTTTTAAAGCCATGAGGAGACACGTTTGAATCCAAGGTGTGTGCGTGTGCAGAGCTGGGTGTGTGTGTGTGTGTGTTGACAGACGTGAGCTCAGATGTGGGGGCTGGGTGGGTGTGTGTGGTGACAGACATGAGTTCGGGTGAGCAACTCTTGCCGTGTTGCTCAGGACCTTTGGGTTTCGGTGGAAGACTCGGGAGACGTCTACAAGGACACCGGGTTAAGCGTGATGTGTTTTTTTTTTTTTTCCCCAGATCAACGTCCGAGTGACCACCATGGATGCGGAGCTGGAGTTCGCCATCCAGCCAAACACCACAGGAAAGCAGCTTTTTGATCAGGTTGGTCTCTGCGCACTTGAGAGGGTTTCGAGTTAGAAAAGAGCATCTGAATCCCTTTGTTTGCTGAGCACAGTCATTACCTCCATCCCCAGCTTACTCCTCTTGGTAGAGATGGCTGTTTATTTCCCGCCTGCCAGCAGGGCCCGTACTCCCTGTCCACAGCCCCCGAGGAGAAGGGACCCCATGCAGTCTTCCTGAGCCAGGGCCTCACCTGGGAGCCCCACCTGCCGCCTCTCCCACGGGGTCTCTGCAGTCCCCCTGGCTGTTTCCTGCCATCTGGTGCAGGGCGTGATGAGGAGGCAGGTTGGCATCTCCCCGGCCTCCTTGCAGCTGCAGCATCCCAAGCCCCTCAGGTGCCAGCACACACCCCTCCCTTTCAATAAGAGCAGCGAACCACCGTGAGGGCCATGATGGTTCTTCCACAGAACAGTTCCGAGCTTTAGGCAGAGCGAGACCCACTTTTCCGGGCTTCATAGATTCTGCGCTGGGCCTGAGAGCCCAGTAGGGCGACAGGGCTGGGTTGGGTGTGCATTCCTGGCCACCTGCCCCCTTGGCGGCCTTCCCAGGAGGCCCTGCCGGTGGCCAGGCGCTGCTTCGCACCCCAGCACCGACCTGGAAAGTGGAGCGGAGTTTTGGCGAATGTAGAAGTTAGAGGTGACTCACACGGGTCTGGTGGGGTCTCCCTTTCTTCGTCCCTGATTTCCCCGAGCCAGTGAGCAGGTCCTCCCAGGGGCTCCCCAGGCACAGGGCCGGGCCGCTGAGTGGATAGGATGTGGCTTCCCGCGGGTCAGACCCAAGCCGAGGCTGCAGCTGGTGGATGGAGAGGAAGGACTGGAGGGGAGCGGGGATGGCTGGGCCACGTGGGGCTTTCTCCGGAGGCCTTGAAGCCGCTCAGAGAGGAAGACGGGGCAGGTTTCGTATCCAGATGTTGAGGTGGAGGGAGGTTTGGCCTGTGGGGAGTGAGAAAGTAGCAGGGGGCGGGATACACGAAACGTGGTCTGGGAACCCTCCTCCTCCGCACTTGCTACCATAGAAACCAGACCTGGGGCTTCACCGGAGGCTTGCCTCCAGCAAACATCCACCCCCTCCCGCCAAAGCCGGTGAGGAAGCAGGCTCAGGGCAGACTTCGGTATTGATACCAGATTCCCAAATTCGTAACTTCCGGTGTGTACAGTCCTCTTTCAAGTTTGATAGGTCATACGTTTGAAGAATGGTAACCTGGTTTTTTCAAGGCTTAACATTTTATGTCATAGAATTTATACAGCAAAATCCTAGGGCCTGGTTATGATGATATTTAACAAGTGTCCACAGCAAGTTGCTTTTTGACACAAGCTGCTTTCAAGACAGAAATAATCAGTGTGGGACTCTCTGTAACCAACCACAGGAGACTTTTCCACCTAGTACTAGAGAGAATTTAAAACAGAAACTCTCCCTGTGACCTAGGGCTGAATTCTCCCTTCCTGTATCAGAATTTCACGTTTCTGGGGGTGGTTAGTCACCCCTTGGCGCGTGTGAAGCTGAGCACCCCCTCGTCCCTGGAAGCTTGCCGCCTCTGCCCGTGGGCACCCCGCACCTGCAGCACACACACCTTTGCCGGTGACCCTGGGTTGACCCCCGTCTGTGTGCCCCCCGCAGCCCACCTGGCTGTCTTTACTGAGGAAACTCTGATGGGGGCCAGAGCAGTAAGGGTGACATCATAAGCTTTGTTATCCCTAACACTGCTGAAATGTGCATTAAAAGCAAGTGGTTCAAGGACTTCCCCGGGCGGTCCAGTGATTGGGACTCGGGACTTTCACTGCTGTGGTCCCAGGTTCGATTCCTGGTCAGGAAACTAGGAGCCCAGATGCCACATGGCCTAAAAGGACTGAATGGTTGGTGTCTGTTGGTAACAGGCAGCGTAGGGGAGGCTGCCCGCTGTGATGAAGCCGGCGCCTCGCTCTCTGGCGGGTCTGCTGCACCACGTGGCGGGGGTCCCTGGGGCCAGTGCCCCTCCAGAGAGCTGCTCATGACAGTTCCAACCCCTGTCCCTTTCCAACAGGTGGTTAAGACCATCGGCCTTAGGGAAGTGTGGTACTTTGGCCTCCAGTATGTGGATAACAAAGGATTTCCTACGTGGTTGAAACTTGATAAAAAGGTAAGTCAGAGTTAACTATTTACAGGCTATTAATTGGGTTTGGTCTACTCTGTTGACATTGAAACTCTGTCTTTTGTTTTTTTTCCTTTCTATTTGTGTAAAAGTTTTTATAGACAGAAAGGTTGCTGGTTTCAGGTAAACGGGGATAGTGGCTGGAAATTAGATCCTGGTCTTTCTCCTTACGGGAGTACGTGATGCATGATCGCTTAGGTTTTAGTTGACCTTAGTTTTGTTGTTTTTTTCTCCCCAATGAGACTGTTAATCTTAAAAACCATGAATCATCCAGTGTTTTGTAAGTCTTGTTACTGCTTTGTTTGGGCCTGTGATAGAGTTCCTTCCAACTCTAGAGTCTGGATAATTCCATTAACAATTACAAAGAAACACATTAAGCTAAGTGTCTTTTCTCCAGGTGGTTTCTCCCGTTTTTCCAAGTCCTGCTTTCCTCCCGTATTACTGTACAACCGGAGGGCAGTTGGAAGCATGCAGGAGCGGGGGTGAGGGCGTGAAGAGTTCCTGAGAGCGTGGTCCTGGGCTGGCCTGGACCTGTGGACAGAGGCTGGGTTCACGGGTCACTTGGGCAGGCCCCTGGAGTTACAGCATCGCCCCCCAGAAAACCAGGGCTGGGGCTCTTGTGACGGTGTCACAGGATTCTCACCTGCCTTCTGTCTTCCATGCTGAAAAGGTGACTTTCAGAGTCATCATTACCTTCTGAAAACTGGCCTGCCGGACCCTTTGAGCCAGTGGTTCAGCTTACGCCGGGCTGGCGGGTCTCTGTGGGTGGACTCTGCAATGAGAGTCTGGCTTCTGCCCACTCAGGTGTCCGCCCAAGAGGTCAGGAAGGAGAGCCCGCTGCAGTTCAAGTTCCGGGCCAAGTTCTACCCCGAGGACGTGGCCGAGGAGCTCATCCAGGACATCACGCAGAAGCTCTTCTTCCTGCAAGTGAAGGAGGGCATCCTCAGCGACGAGATCTACTGCCCGCCCGAGACCGCTGTGCTCCTGGGCTCCTATGCCGTGCAGGCCAAGTTCGGCGACTACAACAAGGAGCTGCACAAGGCCGGGTACCTCGGCTCCGAGCGGCTCATCCCGCAGAGGTGAGCTGGCGGGCCTCGGGGGGGTGGGCTCCCTGCAAGGCCCAGACTCTGTCAACAGCCCCCGCCGCAGTGCGGCGCTCCCCCAGGCCCCGAGCCCCCGAAAGGGGCCTGCAGTAGAGACGCTCAGCAGGGCAGGGCCGGCTTCACGTGCTTCTTGGCTCTCCCTGGTGGATGATAAGTTGGCCCCTGTTAAACCTGTCTTTCATTTACTAGTGGTCACGTAATTGACCCCTTTTGGAAGAAGAGGCTGCTTAGAATAAAATACCTTTTTAAAATTTTTCCAGGAAGACGAGGCTCCTCTTGTTCCAGATTCTTAATTGTCCATTTCTGTTAACTGTCAGAAATGTTGCATATTAGGAAATAGATGGTTTTCTTCGGGGGGAAATAAAAGTCACGGTTTGGGTGAGGCCGGGCCGTGGCCGGTCACTCGCCTCTCCCAACCTTTGGGGTGATTGACGCCCTGCGCCCTCTTCCTTTGCCACCCAGAGTCATGGACCAGCACAAGCTCACCAGGGACCAGTGGGAGGACCGGATCCAGGTGTGGCACGCCGAGCACCGCGGGATGCTCAAGTGAGTGCTGGGCTGGGCTCTGCCTTCCCGTGGGCAGACTCGGTTAGGGTCCTTCAGGCGGCTTGGTGACCCGTTGGGAGCCGCTGGTGGCCAGTGCCTGGCAGGGAAGGTGTAACGATCTGCCAGTGAGGTTTCTTCTTAAAGCCAGGTGTTCTTCCCCACCCCGCCACTGGAGCCGGAAGTGGTTCAGGTTATACTTCACACCCTCAGGCCTTCTCCTTGTTTTGGAGGAAAGAAAAACTTGTGTCTGAAGTGCTTCAGTTTCATCCTGGGGGCCAGAGTGGTGTTCACAAACCATCAGGCATGCTATTTCATTCGTTGTCCATAAGGTGGCTGTCTTTAAAACGGTGTCAATGTTGAAAAAGATCCCGAGAGACAAACACTTGCTATTAAAGAAGCACCAGAGGGGCCGGTGGGAGGTCTGTCCTGTCGTCGTCCTCTCGGACACTGGCAGCAGTTCTGATGATGTCCTGGCCACAGCAGTTCACGGGCAGCTTGGGCCTCAGAGACCGTGTGTCCTTGGCCTTCCGTCTCTGACCCGAGCATCTTCTGTGCTCCTAGTGAGGTGGATCGGGGAGGGCAGAGGGGAGGCAAGCTCCTGGGCTCCCTGAGGCATCATGTGGGTGGCCGGGAGACAAGGTCATGCCCAGCAACGAGGTTTGCAGGGAAGTCCTCTGTGTCCAGAGGAACCAGCGTGAGCCAGTTCGGTCCTTTCCTAACACGTGAAGGACATCAGCAGTCAGCATCCAGGATGGCTGGGGGCCCGCTCGCGTCTCGGGCTGGCAGAGGGACTGCAGTGGAGGCGCTGATATAACTTGCACGCGGTTCACACTCACGCCCATGTCTGCTCTCCCCACATAGAGACAGTGCCATGCTGGAATACCTGAAGATCGCCCAGGACCTGGAAATGTACGGGATCAACTATTTTGAGATAAAAAATAAGAAAGGAACAGACCTTTGGCTCGGCGTTGATGCCCTTGGACTAAATATCTATGAGAAAGATGATAAGTGAGTCAAACTTTATATCATCTTTTGTTGGTGGGGTAGTGGCAAATACGCACGTGGGTTACTTTCAGAGTATTTACCTAGCAACTGATCGGCCCAGCGTCTGACTCTTAAGGGCTTCGCAGCTGTGACCTGGCTGTGTGGGAGGTTGGTTCAGAGGCGCGTGTTCTTTCTCCTGTTATTTCTGTCGCAGCCTGTCTGTCAGCCCATGTAGCATGTGCTGAGGGGCCCAGCAGGACGACCACCAGGGTCCATGACCTCACAGGCCCTGGAGGTTGTGAAAGACAGAGAACAGAGCTGCATGCAGGAGGGCACCCCGCCCCCTCTTCTGAGGGCGCCCACGGCTACCAGCTGGCAGCGCTGGGCGGCTTGAGGTTTGTGCTAATCCAGCCAAGAATATTTGTGATCCTGCCGAGACTTTAAGATTCTGTAAACAATAGCCTCTGTGTACAGACAATTTAGCTAAATCGTCTGGGCTCTTGTGCGATGCAGGGCCGGCCCACCCCCCCTTGACTTCCTTGCCCATCCTTGTGGTTACAAACTCTGCACGGACGTCTTTTTCCTGCCAAGGAGCTGGATTCACAGAAAAAGATCGTTCTCATTGAGTGAGGGCGCGTTTTCCACGGCGGGTCCCTGCTCCTTGGTCTTGGGAGGGGTAGCTCCCCTGTCTCACCTGCTCTCAAGTTAGTGGTCTCTGCTCCCCCATGCCCCAGGTAGGCTGCCCTCCAGCCCCCACGATCGGGAGCAGACCAGTACTGCTTTTGACGGACGATATCGTATGTAGTGGTGTTTACTCACTCAGTGTATCCAACTCTTTGCGACCCCTTAGACTATAGCCCATCAGGCTCCTCTGTCCATGGGATTCTCCCGGGAAGAATACTGGAGTGGGCTGCCCTTTCCTCCTCCAGGGGATCTTCCCAACTCAGGGATCGAACCTGTGTCTCCTGTATGAGCAGGCGGGTTCTTTACCACTGAGCTGCCAGGGAAGCCCCAGTATCATCTGTAGAATCCACTGTAATCCCAGCGTGCTTGCCGGAACCCAGAGTGCAGAACCCTTTCTCCTGGGGGGTGGGGTCTGTGTCGGACATTCCCGGCCCCTGGGCCGAGCACCGGAGTGGTCGGAGGAGCGCTTTTATCCACCCACCGGAAGGCGTGGTGCCAATCAGACGACTCTCGTTACACTTGGGACGTGGCTCGCTTAGCAGAGGCGTGCAGGGCCTCGTCTGAGGACCCACAAGTGGGTCCCTGAGGACTCTTGGTGCGCTTCTTCCTCTGGACCCATGCATGACCAGCCTGGATGAGTCAGGGTCTCGGGCCAGTCCTCGGGGAGCACCGCTGCCTCATGGGAACATGCATGGGAAACCGCCTCTGCCTCCGAACTCTGCTCCTGCATGAGCAGATCTTATAACATAGCCAGGGCCCGGGCTGTCCCAACAGGTTTTTCAAGCTGCGGGACACCACCAGGGGCAAAAACTTGCTGCTGTCAGCTCGTTGCCACACCTGCCCACCCACGTAAATGCCCGTTTGCTCCAAGGAGAAACCTGAGTGAGCCGCTTGGCTCCCCCAGCCCTGCCTCTCCCCTCCGGCTCCCACCCACCCCTCAGCTGAGCTGTGAAACCAGGGGCCTCTCAAAGGGTCTTCTCCCTGAAGAAGACCCCGGGGGGCGTGGGGCACGCCTTGCTCCCCCTTGCTTCTGCGGGCAGGTCACTTAGTTCTTCCGTAGTCAGAGCTGTGCTCCTTTAAAGCAAATACTGACAAGTCCCTTCCTCGGATGAGCAGGAGGTTGTGGCTGGGTCTGAGGAATGTGGTGGCAGCGCTTAGCTGTGGTAAAGTTGTGTTAAAGGTGACCCTCAGCCGTGGAGCTGACGGTGGAGGACCATGAGGACCTGGAGCACTGCTCAAGGGAGAAATCTGCTATGTCCAGTGCATGGTGATGTAGACCTCATACACCTTGTAGGTGCGTGCTAAGTCGCTTCAGTCGTGTCCGACTGTTTGCAACCTCATGGACTGTATAGCCCTCCAGTCTCCTCTGTCCATGGGATTCTCCAGGCAGGAATACTGGAGTGGGTTGCTATTTCCTCCTCCAGGGGATCTTCCTGACCCAGGGGTCCAACCCGCATCTCCTGTGGCTTCTAAATTGTAGGCAGATTCTTTACTGCTGAACCACCAGGGAAGCCCTGCAGATAAGCAGGTGTCTTTACTGAAAAGCTTATCCTTTTTAGTATTAAACATGCTGGGATGGGGGATATTTCTTGAGGTCTCTTTTCCATCATGTATGTAACAGTCAAGTGGGAGTGTGTAGGGCAGGAAGTACTTGTCCTTCTTTCTGTAAACCCTTGCTCCAGAGAAGAGAGGGCGTGGGGAGAGCGTGGACTTCGGCCACAGACGCCTGCGTCAGCCTGGGGCAGGGAAGGTTGAGATTAGCCGTGTGACAACTGCCCGGCCTAGTCCGGCCAAAAACAAAACCAGAAGATCAGAGTAGCCTGATCTGCTGCAAGTTCTTGGGCCTTTTGGAAGCCCTCTTTCCCCAGCCTCGTCCCTCCCAGAGCTCACTCCTCTGGGCCTCTGTGCTGGCTGGGGCTGCAGCAGGAGAGGATGGGGCGAGATGAAGGCCAGTGTCTCTCCCCTTATGTTGTTCACCCAGGCTCGTAATCACACATCCTGATTTCCATTTCTGTTGATGAGCGTTAGAAATGATGTTTCACCCATTTAAAAATACAGGATTCTTTCCAGTTTCTAAAAATCTTGCTCCCAGGCAGGTTTCTCTTCGGTGGGGAGGGGCACTGGTGTTACATCTTTGTGCCTTATTTATTGTCGGTGGCTTACCTGCATCTCCGAGGAGAGTCAAAAGGGATTTTATGATTCGTGAGTTTTGTGGATTCACAGGTATATCAGGATCACAGTTGTCAGACAACCTTCTCCTTTCTGTCTTTGGTACCCCAACTTGAACACGAAACAGATTTTATGTTTTGAATAGCTGGGTTTCTGACACAAGTCTGTTTCCACGAGGACCTCTCCGGAAAGAGTTAGAGCACCTCTCGGAAGAGGTTTAAAAGTTCGGCTCAGACTGGCCAAGAAGGGAGTTTAGACACGTGGTGGTTGCACCTTGGTGGCTGTTCAGTGCGGGGGAGCAGGTGGCAGAGACAGGGTGCAGGGAGTTTTCCGATGCTCCGGCCCCGCAGAGAGGGTTGGTCCTTCCTGATAGGGGAGGGCAGGGCCGGGGTTAACCGACTTTTCTTCCACATAGAGGTGTGGGCAGACCTTTAGGCTCATCTCCACCCGGGGAGGTGACTTGGTGGTTCTGCCTGCTCTTCGCCTTCTCTGAGGCCCAATTTGATCTCCAGCCTGTCCTCCCACCAGACTTTTCTAAACTCATTCCAATGAAAATTTTCAAAAAAAAAACCCTGCAACACATGAAGCATTTTACAGTGAATCCCACGTGCCTACAACCGAGGTTCCACCGCTGGCATTTAATCCCTTGCTTTGTGATGCCTCCCCCCGTCCACATGTCACTGCCCTCTGTCCCCACACCCTCCTCTGGACACATTTCAAAGTAGATTGCAGGCATCTGTATCCTCGCCCCCAAATGCCTATTATTTACTAGAGCTCAGTCTGTTTTGTGGCTTCCCAGGCGACTTGGTGATTAAGAGTCTGCCTGCCAGTGCAGGAGGCTCGGGTTCAATCCCTGAGTCGGGAAGATCCTCTGGAGGAGGAAATGGCAACCCACTCCAGTATTCTTGCCTGGAGAATTTCATGGACAGAGGGGCCTGGTTGGCTATAGTCCCTGGGGTCATAGTCAGACACAACTTAAGTGACTGAGTAGTAGTATGTTTTTTTGTTTTTGTGTGTGTGTATGTGTGTTTTAATGTAAAAATTTAAATGAAATTGACAGTTCTTGAGTGTTTATCTGCTAATATTAGACACACACATGCCTGCAAACTCCTGTCATGGTGTGGAATGTCATCATCACTGCTGCGGGTTTTGAATTTAATTTTTTTTTTTTTTACCGTATTGCACAGCATGTGGGATCTCAGTTCCCCAACCAGGGATCGAACCTGCACCCCGTGCATTGGAAGCTCAGAGTCTTTAACCACTGAACTGCCAAGGAAGTCTCAAATTTAAATTTTCTTAACCATTTTTTCATTTTGAAACCATTTCAGACTTGAGAAAGTTTCCAAAAATAGTAAGTGCAGAGAATTCCCATATGCCCTTTCCCAGATGTTCAGTTGCTCGGTCGTGTCTGACTCTTTGTGCCCCATGGACTGTAGCCCCCAGGCTCCTCTCTCCATGGGATTTCTCAGAGTGGGTTGCCATTTTCTTCTCCAGGGGATCTTCCCTTCCCAGCAGTTGAATGCGCACTTCCTGCCTTGGCAAGTGGATTCTTTACCACATGTGCCTCTTCCCACATGTTAGCATCTCACATAAAACAGGGTCCAGGTATCACAGTCAGTACGTTCACCCTGATACCCAATGCTTTTAACAGTCTGTGGACGGTCTTCCCATGATTTCCCACTCATGTCCCTTTTCTGCCCAGGATCTGCCTGGAATCCCACCTACATTCAGTTGCCACCCTTACCTTCCCGCCACCCCCACCCCCCCAGTCTCCTTCCATCTGGGACAGTCCCACAGTCTGTCTGTCACAGCCTTGACCCCTGTGAAGAGTGTTGACATTGACTCTAGAAAATCCCTCACCTTGGATCTGATCCTCTCCCACGATAAGGTCTGAGGTTTGCACTTTAGGCAAAAATCCTACAAAAGTGCTGCCGTGCCCTTCCATGTGGCATGTGATGTCAGAATATCCTGCTTCTGGTGTTGATTTGAATCTCAGGTCAAGGTGACATCTGCCTGGCTTCCTGCAAAGTTACTCTCCTCCTTTTTGAGATTGATAAGTATATTTAGGGGAGAAGTCTAGTGAATATCCTATTCATTATACTTGTAGCTATTCTACATCCATTGTTGAGACTTGCATAAAATAGTTATTACTGTGGTATGAGAAGTGGTGAATTTTTTTTAATAATCATTTTGTTTATAGATATTAATGGAATTCTAAAAGGAGCCACTTTCTCCTCTCCCATTTATTGTTTAGTTACTGATATTAGTATGGACTCATGGGTATGTGTTTTTGTCAACAGATCATAACGTAAACAGTTACTTTGTTGCTCAGATTGTTTGAGATTTGCTTTTTGGAGCTCCTTTGAGTTGGCGCCTATGCCCTCCTCTGACCCCCGATTTTCAAGTCACTTCTTCCTTTCCGGCACCTCCAGATGTCCCAGATTCTGCTCCAGTCCTGGAATTGGCTGTTTCTCCAAAGAGCTCTGGTTCCCTGTTATTCTCAAATTATACTTAAAAAATTTTTTATGCCTAAGTAAGGACAGACTTGGGCTTCCCAGGTGGCGCAGTGGTAAAGAATCTGCCTGCCAATGTAGGAGACATAAGAGATGTAGGTTCGATTCCTGGGATGGAAAGATCCCCTGGAGGAGGACATGGCAACCCATTCCAGTATTCTTTCCAGGATAATCCCATGAACTGAGGAGCCTACAGTCCATGGGGTCACAAAGAGTCGGACATAACTGAGCACATGCACAAAACAGACTTATAAATCCTTTAGAAATCTTCTCTGTGGGTCTTTTTCTGTTTGTGTCCTGTAAGTAAACTCAAAAAAAAGAAGAAAAACCTTTGTTGGCTTACAATTATGGTCAAGAATTAAAGGAGGTTCTTTAACTCAGGAGTGAGTCAGAAATTTCGCATTTAGTCCTCATCTTTGTCCCTACAGTCATGTTTATGGAGACTCTAAATTGTTATATGAGGTTTCAGTCTTACAAAGATAAACTTCACAGGTACAGCAGAGAGCAGAAGCTGGAGGCCATGGAGACAGGGTGCCCAGCTCTTGAGAGAAACATGCCTGTCGAGCCTGAAGGTCCAAGTTTTCTGTGTTAGAAACTGTTTGGAGAGACCCAGATAAAACTAGGAGCCAGAGAACAAATCACTGGCTCTTGAAAGTTCAGGGCATTGGAAGCCCGGTCCGCAGTGCTGACTGCACGGCTGAGGCTGGTTCTAGCACCTCTGCCCTTCCCAGCACGCTGGCCATGTGTTCTGAAGCAGCTGATGCCTGCCTGCTGTCTCTCCTTCACGGCTTTTCTGTGGAAGGACGGAGGCTGACGTCCATGGCAGGGACAGATGATGTGCTGAGTTCCTTTCCAGTGTTCAGAGACCTGTAAACAAGATGTGACTTTAAATGATAGGGCTTCCCCGGTGGCTTAGTAGTCAAGAATCCGCCCGCCAAGGTAGGAAGCTCGGGTTCGATCCCTGGGTTGGAAAGATTCCCCTGGAGGAGGAAATGGCAACCCACTCCAGTATTCTTGCCTGGGAAATCCCATGGACTGAGAGCCAGGCGGGCTACAGCCCTTGGGGTTGGCAAAAGAGTCATTCACGACTAAACTACTAAATAGCAATATTATATATCTCATAGTAACTGAACAAGCAAACTCCTTGCATGCTTTTTTGAGTGCTTTGAAGTGCTAACCAGATCTGTTTCAGCGGGCACTGGTGGTCCTATAGGAGAACACTTGCAAAAGGATGTGTACCAGAAGGGCTTGACCCTTAAACCACAGCCTGGCCAGTGCCCTGACTCCCAGGTCCCAGAAGGGGCTTAGGTGCCCTCTCCCGGCCTTCAGAGGCACCCCCACTGCCTCGACTCAGCTTGTGTTGTCACAGCAGGACCTACATTGCCCATCTGTTTTTGGTTAAACATGCTGGTAGGCAGTGTAGGCCTCTGCCCTTTTCCTTTCCTAAATTGGAGGTTTAGGCTCACAGGCAAGGACTGTTTTTGACAGCAGCATCTTTGAAAGATGCCTTGAGGATCTGTCCTTACTTCTGGAAAGGTATCCATGGTAAATGTGTTGCAAGAATAGGGTGGAGGATTCCTCCAGGCAAAAGCAGGAAAAGGGCTCCAGAGGAGGGGCTTTGTTTCCCCTCTGGGGAGGGGGATGGTACCCTCCCATCCTTGTCACTCCTCCTGGGGGGGTGGCGGGGGCTCTGTCTCCCAAGCAGGCGGAAAATAGAATAGGGTGGGAATTACAAAGTTCATAGAGCAACGTGGTTTTAAATTTATACAGTGAGCCTTCCCAGGAATGCCAGTGGTGGACGAGTCGTGACTGAGTAGGACCTCAGTGGGGCTCTCTTTAGGGTGTATGATCCGAGCGCTGGCCTGGAACGCGTCCAGGAAGGTGTCTGGCCCGCCAGGAGGACGTGCATATCATGCAAATGAGAACCAGAGGAGCTGAATCCACACCATGCCCTCAGCTCACCAAGAAGATGTAACAGTTGTACATATACATGCACCCAGCATCAGAGAACCTGAGGGCAAACAGATGTTCTGAAGGGAGAAACAGACACCAATACAGTGACAGAGGGGGACTTGAACACCCCCACTTTCAGCAATGAGGCGACCACCCAGGCACAATCAGCAAGGGAAAGCCAAGTGCTTTCCTTCTCCATTTGTGAGCAGCTGCTCTGGGTAGAGCGTGTTTGGGAAACGCAGGACATGCTCTTGGCCATCAGAATGTGAACCTGCCTGGTTTTCAGAGAGCTCAGTAATAATGCAGTAATGTGAATAACACAAGAATAGTTTGCGTAGTATAAGGGATGGCACCTGGAGAGGAGAATGGCTGTCGCAAGAGGGAGAATGAGCTGGCCTGAGCTCTGCAGGTCCAGGAATGGTGGGGGAGGGAGGTGGGAGACCCTTCCAGGCAGGGGGTGGCAGGCAGTGAACCCTGTGTTGATAGGATGGGCTGAACCCGGCCGCTGGGGCTCGGTCAGAAGGCTCTTGGATACTAAGTTAAGGACTGTGGGTTTCATCTTTAGAAACCGGGTGAGGTTAGGGCCGTGTTGGCATTTTTGAGGAGGGGAATGGAATAAACAAATGGGACATTAATCAGACAGGCAGACGGGAAGTAGGGTTCCAGCAACTAGGGACTTGATTAGGCTGCCGGCACGTGAGAGGTGTCAGGGTGGTGATGTGGGAATGAATTGCAAAGGATGGTTGTAAGAGAGGTTTCAAAGGATGAAGGGATATGCTTGGTTAGGCATCCAAGTTGACCTCAAGATTACAAGCCGGGAGATGGCCGCAGTCACTGAGAAAGATGTGTTAAATGGGAGCATTATTCAGGCCTCATAGAGTTCCATGCTGACTGACCCCCACCTGTCAGCTTGCCCAGCACAGGTGGCAGCTGTCTTGGTTATGATGGATATTACATGTTGTGATTCTTGGGCTCGCTTTATGCTTTTTGTAATTGAACTAAAAACAATTAAGAATGGGTTTGCAAACCTTTCTTAGCCAATCCAAGTACACATCTAACTTCTCCCACCTTTTTTTTTTTTTGGACCTTAGGTTGACCCCAAAGATTGGCTTTCCATGGAGCGAGATCAGGAACATCTCTTTCAATGACAAGAAGTTTGTCATCAAGCCCATCGACAAGAAGGCTCCAGTAAGTCCATGACAGTTACCGTTGCTGTTTTTTCATTCTGGCAGCCAAATGCGTCTCCAAGACAACAGATTTCTGTGTGTGACAAGGAGCCAGTGATTTCAGAACTACCTGTCGGGGGGTGGCAGAGGGGAGGAGTTTGTTTTCTACTCGGAAATCTGTTCTTAAAAAAACTGCCGCTTGAAGGAGTTCTCTTACCCTTCTTAGAGCCTGTTGTGAATTTTACCAAAATTACGGTTCGGAAAAGGACTTCATGTCTTGGGTAATTTTGGTTCCACAGGTAACAGCGTTAGGCTGGGAGACACAGGTCTGGGAGCCCTCCTGGACTTGGGTGCGCTTGCTGATGGCTAATGTTCAAGGGTCAGCATGTAGCATTGCCATCCAGCTGTTCCTCCCATGGGGGTTAGTCCTAAGGGAAAACCAGAGGTCTGAACACCATGGGGCCAAGTATTGTCCTTACTGAGAGAGAGTTTCAGTACTCCTGCTATTTGCAAACTCTTGACTCCTGCTCCATGAGTAGTTGAACATTTGTTTTAAATGAAACAAGTGTTTAATACAGATTCTCAGGCGCCATGGTAACAGGTCACATTAATATGCGGCACCACGAACCAAGGGTCATAGTGTACCCGCGTGATGTGGGCGGTGATGTGGGGTGGCGAGGAGAGCTTGCGACCTGGTACAGGCTGCACTTGAGATGTTACTGATTGTTCAGAGCCTTTTTTAAGAAGTTTACGGACAGAAGTAGGAATTCTAGGTAGACTGTTGAAGAATTAAGTTGTATGTGCTTTCAAATTGGGTTTAAGTTTAGCTTTTGCAAAGCTGGAAGGATATAATCATAAACTCCCAAGCAGAGGCAATTGTAATGCACTGGGTTGAATTAGCCGAGTGTACTTTTACTATAATCTGGTTTTATGTGAAGCCGTCACTTAAAGGGGGAAAAAGGAAGAGACCTTTGCAGGTTGTGTGCTGCGTGTCAGGTGCGACTGTAGGATGGTGGGCACAGTGGAGCAGGGCGGGTTCCGCCCCAGGAGGTATGGACACCAGTGGGGAAATGAGGGCAGTGCCCTCTGGCAGTGGATTTAACAGCGTCATTGCACTTAACAACAAATGCAGAAATCCAAAGGTCGCCGTACCACACGGGGAGGGACCCCTGAGCCCATGTGGAGGGCAGCACCCCCAGGGAGCCCCCAGCTGAGCCCCCAGCCCCGCGCCCTGGCCAGCCACTCAGATACCCCAGTTTGGCGCCACATGTTGACTCCTGTGCTGGGACCTTCCAGTCGTGAACGGTGCCTGCTTTGGGCCGAGACAGCTGGCTCCCCTTGGAAAAGGGCCTCTGGTGCGTGCCCCATGGAAAAGCAGAAGGGTAGAGACCTGCCCTTGACGGCAGGCCCTGCCCAGCCGATGGAAGCAGGGAGCAGCCCAGAGGCTCACCTGCTTCCTTGGGACCTTGGATTCACTTTCCTCGAGCATTCCTGGTTTCCGTTTTGAGAATCTCATTCTCTGCCAGAGTTAGACAGCCTGCCCCAAGTTGCATCAGGAGGCCTGGACTGGAGACATGGATTTAGAAATCTCTGAATGTTAGCCTTTGGTTTTTAACTTGAAGTCAGAAACTGGCCACCTGCAGAGGCAGCACAGGCATTTCCTGTCTCCCGTGCGCCAGTGCTCTCGCCATCCCCGCACTCACAGCCCTGTGTCCGGGCGGCTGTGTTCTCTGGGAGCTTCACCTGCAGTTCTGACCCTTGGTTTGTTTGTTTGTTTTTCTCTTTAAGTGACATTTTTCATTAGTTTCTTTGCAAATACTTGGGAACCACAGCCAGGATCTACCTGGGTAGCAGGGCTGTGCAGTCACGAGAGGTGGCTTTCCCCTGTGTAACAGGAGAAAGGTGGGTGATAAAAATACCTGCTTCTCCCTGCTCCTTGGGAAACCCGATGACTTAATAACAAGCGTGTGAAACCCCAAGGAGAGCCCTGCCCAGGAAGTCCGTGGGCTCTGGGGCTTGCCATCACTCCCTCCCCCGCGTCTGGGGACAGGTGGAGAGACTGAGCCCTTCCTGGGCGTGTCGACCAGCCCGCCTGGCAGGTTCCTGTAGGCTTCAGGAGGGCTGGTCCCTTGTTTCAGACCACCCTCCCCTGTTCCAGTCTGGATGCGAAGGGCGCTGTGGTTCCCAGGAGCAAGGAAAGCAGGAAGAGGAAACAGATGACTCTAACTTTTAGGCAGAGTTTCTAAACCACACTGTCCCTCTGTCACCTGTGTTAGTCACACGGGTGACCAGGAGCCAAGAAAGAAGACTGTGTCCCAGACCCATGCTGTCCCAGAGTCAGGAAGCCCTTGGGTGTTGTGATTTCTGTTGTTTTCAAGAAGGCTTTCCAGTAGCGGTGTCATAAGGCAGCCCGAAGTCTGAGCCAGGCGTTTCTTGTATCAGCCAGCTTTCACTGTGCCAGATGCCTTTCTCAGTTCCTGGGAATATGTTGTGACTCAGTCCTGACAACAAAGCCGCTGATTGTATAGCTGAAGATGCTGAGGCTCTCAGAGTGGCGGAGGGACTTGCCCAGGGTCATGGGGTCAGACACGGCAGGGCTGCGTGAACTGTCGCCCTGCAAGTAGGTGTACACTGGACACCCGTAAACAGAGCGTGGGTTTGGTCCCGGCAGGGCAGAGGTGCGCGAACATGGCCCAGAGCGCCAAGAGGCTGACTCGGGGTGGAAGATAGCAGGACAGGCCGGGTAGGGTGAGGCGCTGGCAGCCCCCATGGCTGATGTCTCCCGTCGGCCGCAGTGGGCACCGAAGTGACAGCCGCGGGCATGTGGGATTGGACGTGACACGCCGAGCGGGGACCGCGGAGGCCTGCTCCCGGTGAGGGCGCAGCTGAGGGGAAGGGGGCTCGGCCTGAAGGCCTTCACGGGCACCAGGCCATTTGTACAGGGTCCTGGAGCTGCCCGGCTGGCGCTGAAGCTCCAGCGGTGCCCCAGTCAGTGCGCTGGCAGTGGTGGGAAGTGAAAGGTTGATGCGGAGGAGACGGAAATTCAAATAGGAGAAGTTGCGCTGTTCAAGCAAGAATCAGGGGTGGGGCCACCAGGGGCTGGAGAGGTCAGAGGAGGATGTCAGCCGCTGGTCCAGCCGTGGGGTTCCTGTGTGTGCACACACAGGTGTGCGCTGACCGCACATAATCCCTCTGCTTGTCCTAGAGGATGCTCGCCCCCTGGCACCGAGGACCGCCCCCCCCTCGCTCGCTGGGGTCAGCGGCTTTCCACTGGGTGGGGTCGGTTTTGGGAGAAGCAAGCCAGAGACCCTGCATCCCCAAGTCAGCGTACACGCTGCTCTGTCCCGCAGGACTTCGTGTTCTATGCGCCCCGCCTGCGGATCAACAAGCGGATCCTGCAGCTCTGCATGGGGAACCACGAGCTGTACATGCGCCGCCGGAAGCCCGACACCATTGAGGTGCAGCAGATGAAGGCCCAGGCCCGGGAGGAGAAGCACCAGAAGCAGCTGGAGAGGTGAGGGGCGGGGCGACGGTGGGACGGGGATCCCAGTGTGCGGGCCCCCTGAGGCGGGGAGCCATCAGGGCGGCTGGGGTCAGTGCTGTCACCTGTGTCCTCTGCCGGGTGGACGGGCCTGGGGCCGGTGAGGGGCTGGGGTGAGCAGGCTGCTGTGTGGACACCATGCTTACCTTCCCCTCCTGGAAACAGGCAGCAGTTGGAAACCGAGAAGAAGAGGAGAGAAACCGTGGAGAGAGAAAAAGAGCAGATGATGCGTGAGAAGGAGGAACTGATGCTCAGGCTTCAGGACTACGAGGAAAAAACCAGGAAGGCGGAGAAAGGTGGGCGGGGCCTCCTAGGAGGAGGGGCTCTGGTCCGGTTGTGATGGGAGGGTCGGTTGGTGGGCACACAGGCAACCCGGAGGGACCCCTCCCTCTCTGTTAAGCTCACACCCAAAGTAGAGACTTTCAGAAGAGACGTGATAAAGTGGTGATTGGGATTAGAAGCTAGTTCTGTGCCGAATGCTGCTGGGCGTAAACCTTTTAAATTTCCCCGGGGTCCGGTGGGGTAAGGTTTGAATTATCTCCCTGTTCCTGATGAGGATGCGGAGGTTGGAGGAGGCGGAGCGCTCTGCCGAGCTCAGCCGAGCCCTGCTGCATAGCCCACCTTCTAAGCCGAGAGCCGGGGGAGCGGTCCCGATCTCCTGAGTTTGAGGAGAGCAGCCAGGCGAGGATTCAGCCAGCTGGGGGGAGGGGGGGTGTCCTCACCATGGGGATGTGGTCTTCTGTGCCCTGAGGAACCAGTCGCCCAGTGTTCCCTGCAGGGTCTTTGGTAGGAGTGGCCCTGGACCCGGTCCCCTACTCTGCAGCATAGGGATGATTCCTGCCACAGGCCCACTTGGTTCCCTGGGGGGAAATCAGGGCAGGACTTGAGGGGTTCCCAACCGCACCTCGAGCAGCTCTGGTTCTGCGCTCTCTCTAGAGCTCTCCGACCAGATCCAGAGAGCCCTGAAGCTGGAGGAGGAGAGGAAGCGGGCCCAGGAAGAGGCAGGGCGCCTGGAGGCTGACCGCCTGGCCGCGCTGCGCGCCAAGGAGGAGCTGGAGAAGCAAGCAGCCGACCAGATCAAGAGCCAGGAGCAGCTGGTAGGAGCCTCTGGCCTCGTGCTAAGTTACAGGGAGGCTGCCCCTGGGGACTGGCAGAGTGACACCTGCCTGATGATCATTTGTACATTACGGCGGGGCTGTAAAGTGATCTGAGGGTGTAAGGTGGCCGGTGGGGAGGGAGCCCCGCAGTGGTTGGGCCTTGGGTGGGGGGATGGACTCGGCAGCCCTGGCGAGGCACAGCCTCAGACATTGCAGGCAATGGACACCGCCGGCCAGGGATGGGGCACCATATACCAAAATATGTGACCCTTCCTTCACGAGTGGCATGCTGAAACCGTTCCGGAAATAATCTGGGCTTCTGTTTCTTCCCCAGGCCACGGAGCTTGCGGAGTACACGGCCAAGATCGCCCTCCTGGAGGAGGCACGGCGGCGCAAGGAGAACGAGGTGGAAGAGTGGCAGCTTCGGGTGAGCGCGGGGCGCCGGCGGGGCGGGGGCTCAGCCGGGACACCACCTTCTGGGCTCCCGGACGCTTCTGGACGCCCCGTCGGGAACTAGCTTTAAGTCAGATTACATGGGTGCCCCCAGGACGCCCAGAGTCCCGGCCCTGAGCCCTTCTGCCGCTCGGAACATGCCTCCCTGTGGTGCGGGGGAAGACCTGCACCCTGGGGGTCTCCAGCCCCCGCGAGTCCAGCTCTGGCTACTCCTTCCTGTGCCGCGGGTGGGCAGCCTCACCTCTGAGGCTCGGTTCCCTGTTGCAGAGCCAGGACGAGCTTGTGGGGTATCCAAACCCCCCACCCAGGGGTTTAGTCAGTTGCTGCTGTAATAGCCCCGCATCCTTCCGGCCGGCAGACTGCACGGTTCCCCGGGGGCTGCCACTGAGTTCGGAGGGTAGACCTCTGCCAGGCTGCGGGGCTCCTCTCCCCTCACCAGCCCTTTTCCACACTTCCTCACCTGCGGTGGCCCCCTGCCCTTCATGGGGGACCCCCATCCCCCAACCCAAGTTGTGTGCAGAAGACTCCCATCCCCCAACCCGAGTTGTGTCCAGAAGACTCTGGTCCTTGGGGTTTTGAGGAAAGTGCTCAAGTATTAAATGAGAGAAGTGGGTTTCAAAACAGGTACAAACTAAACACATCTCCAGGGTCAGGATGGTGGTGCAGTGTCTCCCCCCACCCCCGCCCAAGCTGCTGGAAGGATTATGGGGTGAGAAAGGGTGTGAACCACCTGCTGACAGGCAGGGAGGAGCTTGGTAAGCAATGCCCAGCCTGCCACTGGGGGAAAGTAAAATCCAACATCAAAAAGCCTTTAGTGGCTGGAGGGCTTCATCATATTTTTTTCAAAAGTATATACAATAAGCACATACAGGGACTGTAAAGAAGTTATAGTACTTAGAAAAGTGTCTACATTCTCTCAGTGCCGCGGGCGCCATTGACCCGGGTCTCCAGACCTGGGGGCAGCTGCACAGACGGTGGACCGGCCACCAGGTCAGCCAGAGCCTAGCCCTCAGCTCAGCGCTGCTGCAGCCCGCCACATCCAGCCGGCGGGGGAAGGGAGGGTGCAGGATCTTGCTCTCCGCCGGGACAGTGGGCCTTCAGTTAAAAGGTGGTTCGTAAGGATTCAAGCCTGAGGTTCTCTGTGAAAGTTCTCACCTGCCTCTCAATCTGCTTCCAAAGGCCAAGGAAGCCCAGGATGACCTGGTGAAGACCCGGGAGGAGCTGCACCTGGTGATGACCGCGCCCCCACCGCCGCCCCCGGCGTACGAGCCGGTGAACTACCACGTGCATGAGGGCCCGCAGGAGGAGGGCACGGAGCTGAGCGCCGAGCTGTCCAGCGAGGGCATCCTAGACGACCGCAACGAGGAGAAGCGCATCACCGAGGCCGAGAAGAACGAGCGCGTGCAGCGGCAGCTGATGGTGAGGGCCGAGGGCCGGGGGCCGGGCGGGGGTGGGGGGCGCCCCGGTGGGTCATGGAGCTGACCATGGGCTGCTTCCCCTTGCAGACTCTGACCAGTGAGCTGTCCCAGGCCAGAGACGAGAACAAGCGGACCCACAACGACATCATCCACAACGAGAACATGAGGCAAGGCCGGGACAAGTACAAGACGCTGCGGCAGATCCGGCAAGGCAACACCAAGCAGCGCATCGACGAGTTCGAGGCCATGTGAGGGGCCGGGCCTCGGCTCCGCCCCGCGCCGCCCCTGGCCCTGCAGCCGCCACCCTCTCCCGGCTCCGGGTCCTTTACCAAGAGAGCAGTTACTTCAGTGGGAATGTTCTGGGGCTGGGACAGGCGGCAGTTTCCCTGGTTTATTTTTTCCAATTGTATCATAGTGCCAAACAGGCCTGATTCTTTTTATTTTTATTGAATCATTTCCTGTTTTGTTTTTTTTTTTGCTTGGAGCAGGATGAAATCAGTTAAGGAAAGATGCCTGTAAAGTCTGAAATAACTAACTCCTCCATGCTGGCATGTGTGATACAGATTCAGTATAATTAAAACCACATCGTGGCTTATATTCTGTGCCATACTTTTTTTCTATTTGAAATTAGCTGAAATTGATTTTCTTCTTGATTTCTATGAAGGATCCACCTCTGTATATTTGTTTTTTGAAGGGTGAAAAGTTTGACGCACTCCCTTATGCACGCACACCATTTCCTTCCTCCAGGCCTTCAGTTGACGAAATCCTGTGATCATTCGATTCCTCAGGATAAACAATGCTGGATACTGCACTCTGGATTTTTTTTTGCTTAACAGGTAGAGGGCTACATTGTTGGACTTACACACCTAAATAATGATCAGCTATAGAGCATAGTATTTATATGTAAGTGATAACGTGGGTTTGTAACATTAGTTTAAAAAAAGGGAAAGTTTCATTCTGTATATTTTGTTACCTTTTACAGAATAATAAAAGAATTACATATTAAAAACCACGGCCCTGAATCTGACATGACCTGAGGGCAGTAAGGAGGCTGGTCGACTGCTGTCTTCACATCTGGGAAATGACTTTTTTTTTTTTGGTTTTGCTTTTAGTGTTCTTTTTGTGTGTAACTGACTATGCGCGCATTTGAATTTTCTATCAGAGCTGCGACAGCCACACAGGCTGTTCAGATAACTCGGACACCAGCCGTGAGGGCCCTTCTGACCTGGTTAGGTCCACAGGCAGAACCTGCTCCGACCTCCTCCTCCTCCCCAGCACGCCTGCGAAGAGCCAGTAGCTGTCTGCTCATTCCTGGCCTTCCTGTCCTTTCCCCTTGAGACGTCCTGCGGGGATGAACCCAAGGCAGGAGGCAGCGGCAGGTGTCTCCAGGAAGGCGCTGGAGCGGCAAGGGGCCTTTCTCTGACCCGCTGTCTGCACAGGCTGGCAGCTGCGTTGAGAGGCCGGCATTCCTCAGGTGACCCTTACCTGGCCAAAATGACCCCCAGCTGATCGCCTCCAGAAACAGTTTCCCACAGCCAAGGGGGGAGGAATTAAATACTCACCATGGTCTTTCCTCTTTGAGACACATAAGTTCACTATTTGCTAAGCACAGGGGAACGAGGGTAGCTGGTGAACATTTATTGAAATCTGGTCATTTTGTACATCTCCCAAAGCACAGACAACCAACCTGAGACTCAGTAAGGTGTATGCATCGATTATTGATCTGTTTAACTTAAATACACACGGAAGGGTCTGGTAGAACATCTCAGTGGTGGGCTGGCTACAGACGGGCAGGTTCACACTGTGAGGGACCCCACCCAGCACGTGTCCACACGCAGCAGTCAGCGCAGGATGAGGGTTATGTCTGTCCACAGGTTGGGGCTGGAAAGAACTTTCTGCCACTGGAGCTTTGCCTGTGAGCTTGTGTGTGCGCCGCCGGGCTGGTCCTCCTCTGTGTGAATGAAGGGACAGGTTAGTAGTGATGGCTGAGGGATGCCCACCGGCCCTTCTCAGCAAAGTGGAAAGTACCTTTTCTCTGCAACTTCAGACCATATGAAAATGTGCCCTGCCAGCGAGTAAGGGAGAGGACCCACCCCCAACAGCAGGTGTGGACACGCTCAGGTGTGCTCCCCAGGGGCCGACAGGCCTCCAAAAGCCTGAGGTGTCTTCCCTGTGGTTTGGAAGTGAGGAGAGGACAGCTTTGGGTGGTTTCTTCCAGAAGGGGGTCAAAGGTCTTAATACATCACTGTGGCTGCAGACGGACGGGGAGCCAGACCAACCAGGCCCAGGCTAGTTTGCAGAGAGGAGCAGCCCTCTGTGAGAAGAGGGTGCCGTGGACAGGGTTCCTTTTAAAACTAATCTAACCGTGAGTCTGGTTTCTCCCCAGTGGTCTCAGAGGCCCTGGGAGTGTGTCTGGATATCCTGGTCATCATAGCATTTTGGGAGCCTTGCTGCCCCAGGAAAAGCCAGCAGCACTCGCTCCGTTAATGAAATCATTTCTGAATTGCCGTTTGTTTGGGTTAAGAAGATATTCTCCTTTAAGAAAATAATCCTTTCATGAATGACGCCAGAAACAAAAGCAAAGGCTGTACCCAGCCCATTTTGAGACCTGTAATTTTTTGTTTCTTTAGCAGATCTAAATCCGATTTAAATCGTTGAAATATTTTGCTGTATTACCACTCAGCTGTAAAAACTAGACTAACTGCCATTTATGGTGGGTAAGGAAAAGGCAACCCACTCCAGTATTCTTGCCTGGAGAAGCCCATGGACAGAGGAGCCTGGCAGGCTACAGTCCATGGGGTCGCAAGAGTCGGACACAACTTAGTGACTAAACCACCAGGCAGTTTCAAAGCCAATTAAGTTACCTGCCACCATGGAAACAGTTTTTCTTTTTAATGGTATGAATGTTAGAATGGTCACTAAAGATCAGAAAGACTTACTCAAACCAAGCCTGGCACCTCCCAGGAAGCGGTCATTCACCCCGAAGGTGGCCTGGTCCCAAACAGTCAGTTCTAGGCTGGACTGCCTCAGCTGCGAAGGGGTGACGCCTTTGAAAACGAAGGAATGCTTCCACTGGGGACAGGCTTGCTTCTTCAGGACGGGGGACTTGAGTCTCAACCTCTGTTGGTCTGGCAGAGTGAGACAGCTGCACAGGCAAACAATCAAAAACACGTAAGCTCGGCCCGCCACGCGCCCCGCTCCCTGCTGCTAACTTGCTCCTTGGTGAGACCAAGTGCTCAGAAAGTGCTCATAAACCCACTGCAGAACAAAACCTGTAAGCAAGGAACGAGCATGGGAATTGTGAGACCTGGCTCTGTGATCTCTCACTAGGATATTCCAACTTTCAGAGTCGAATTCTGCTCCGAGGATTACGGGTGCTTTGGGATTCTGGGCCACGTGGCCCTAGGCTTAATCTGCCGCCTCGGTGTGACCACCATCAGGCCACAAGGAGGCTAACCAGGGAGCAGCACTCTGCACACACGTTATCTCCTTTAACCCTGTTCTCAGACAAAAATCCAGGAGGGCTAAGTCAGTCGCTTGCTCAAGGCCGTACAGATAAGTGGCAGGCTTAGGACACGAACCCACTTCTATCTAGACAAGGGAAGCCGTCATTCTTCCATTATGTCACTGACTGGGGATTTAGCAGTTCTGTATAATTATTAACAGTGTTTGCTTTACTTTTGGAGACGCCATTAAATGCGTAGTGAATGAGACAGGCAGTCATCCCCAAGAGGAGATGTCAGTGTCAAGCGAAAGAAATATTTACTAACCGTGTTGCTTTCTGCATGTCCCCCTGTCACTGGAGCTCTCACTGGTGTCATGGGAAGGACTGATAAGATTTGGGTTTAGTTTAAAACGTATTCCAAATCTAGCTTCGGCATGCCTGAGTCCCATGAATTCTTGGAAACTAGTCTTGAACACACATTATGTTGGGTTTTCAAGCTAAAATAAGTTTAAAGTGGCTCACACATTTGGTGTGCCCTTACAGGGACAATGCCATATGTGTCATGAAGGCGAAAGTGTTAGTCGCTCAGTCGTGTCTGACTCTCTGCAACCCCATGGACTGTAGCCCGCCAGGCTCCTCTGTCCACAGGATTCTTCAGGCAAGAATACTGGAGTGGGTAGCCGTTCCCTTCTCCAGGGGATCTTCCCGACCCAGGGATTGCACCCGGGTCTCCTGCATCACCGTCAGATCCTTCAGCATCTGAGCCACCAGGGAAGCCCTGCCTGTATGCGTGATGGTCATCAATAAATAATGATTGATTACAATGGAATACCTACGCCTTAACAAATGAGTTTAAGGTGCCATCGGACCGCACAGGTAGATTCTTGGCTCCCAGCACCACCAAACAGAGCTGACCGTTCTGTGATGGCTCGTCTCCTGTCCCTAGAAGGAAAGCTGGCATTTATCATCAACCTTCTACAACTTTCTACAAACTTCTACAGCATGCAAGGCCATCCCCTGAAACTGGTAGTTTAACCAGAGGGTGTGTTACAACCCTCAGGTCCCTAGAACGAGAGAGCAGAGGATCACATCTACCATGCATGGCTCCCCTGGGCCCTGCTCACATGCTGCCCACTGCATCATCAGGGAAGGATTCAAAACCCAGGCACCCAGCAGCTGCCAAGAAGCATGAAGAGCCAAGGAGAGGAGGCGGCAGGAGCTTTAACCAATTGTAGCCAGTGGGCTGGGAAAGAGACCTCTGTCCAGGGGCTATGATGACCACAGGGTGTGAGCTACTGGTCTGCTGGGGGTCCTGCAAGCATGGGCAGCAGAATTCCCTCTTCTATCAAACAGGAGATCACTAATAGGGAAGCCTGGTGTGCTGCAGTCGACGGGGTTGCACAACTTAGCAGCTGAGAACAACATTGCTAATAACGGGGAGTTGCTTCCTCTCCGGTCTTCACTCTCCGCCCTCCCCGCTTTCCTGTGCCCCCGTTATCTGAGTCAGTTACACCTCGTGAAGCTGAGGACCTTGAACCCTCCTCCCTTCTGAGCAGCCGCTGCCCACGTGGCGCGGTTGCTGGTTGCTGGGAGCCTGGCAGGCACTTCAGCCTGGAGTTGGAGGCGAACTGGACCATAATGCAGGTGTCGGTCCACACAGAGGGCCATGGCCAGACTGTTTCTCCGGTAAGAGACTGTGCAAGCTGGCTGCCTGGGAGGAAGCCCCCAGGCAGGCGTCCTAAGAGCCCGTTGAGTGGGCATCACAAGCCTGGTTTTGGTCACTAATTTCCCTCCTAAGTCGAGGGGTCCAGAGAAGCAGGCTGGGTTTCGCGGGGTTTGGTGGGTGTTCTGGAACGCGGGCTCAGTGGGCAGCAGAAAGGAAAGGCTGTGGCCTCTCGGGCCATCTGCTGCCCCAGGCTCGGGTACAGTGACAGGGATGGACAGATGTTTGCAGGCAGGAGGCCACCCACCTTCTGGAGCCTCCTGGAGCTCTCTGGGCCCTGCAGGGAGGACCAGCATGGCCCGGACTGCGAGTTCTCCGTTATTGGTGGGAAGGCTGTCTTCGGATTTCTCTGCCTGTGGGATATGAGGCAGAGCTCAGAGGCAGGTCTCCCCAGCCCCCAGAACCTTCTGGAATCCTCTCATTGTCTCAGCGCTGTCCATAAGTGTCCCCTTCCAACCTACCCGTGGCCCACCCCATCCCGGCAAAGCTTCTGCAGGTCTGAGAGAGCCCAGGAACCGGGGCAGGAGGTGCGCCAGCCTCCCACCTGGCGAGTGAGTGAGTGGAGAGGTTTGGGGAGGGGAACAGAAGCGTCTAGATTCATTCTGGTCCCCCAGCAGGGAGCAGCCTCCACCCTCAGCTTCCAGAAATCTGCGACAACCCCATGGTTGCCTCCTGGCAGGGCCGAAAGGGTGGGCCTGTGAGCAGACCCCCGCCCCGAGCCAGCATGAAGAGTCACTTGTTTGTCAGCTGGGATTAGGAGGGACGCCTCTCAGTCTGGGGATCTTGGCTCCTCGCCTGCTTATCAAAGAGATGACCAGCCTTGGCGGCGGCCTGCCTTAACCTGAATGAGATCCTGGGGGAAGAAGACAGGATGGGGCCCCTCGACAGGGAGCTGGTGGGTGGGGGGCACGTAGACCGCATCTGGCAGGGAAAATCAGGAGAGCCTTCACGGAGGAGCGGGGATTTAAGCGCCGTCTTGGGCTGACCTTAGAGATTCCAAGAGGAGGTCTGAGGATAAACTGAGGTTATGAGAAGAGCAAGCACAGGATGGAGAGGATTGGGGAGGCGTTGTGCAGACCCCACAGAGAAAACAGCTGGGAGCGGGGAGCGGGGGGACCCTGCCAGGCCTGGGCTTAACCCTGTGAGGCCAGAAACCAGAGCTGCTTCTAAGAAGAGATGCAGCGTTAAGTCACTCAGTCCTGTCCGGCTCTGTGACCCCGTGGACTGTAGCCCTCCATGCTCCTCTGTCCCCGGAATTCTCCAGGCAAGAACACGGAGTGGGCTGTCATTCCCTTCTCTGGGGGAATCTTCCTGACCAGAGATCGAACCTGGGTCTCCCACACTGCAGGCAGATTTTGTTTACCATCTGAACCACCAGGGAAGCCCACTTCTAAGCAGAAGCATCCTGAAAAACAGCCCCCCAGAGCCCTGGAGGGGAAAACAGGGACCAGGGCGCCGGGGTCCGGCCCAGCCCTTGTAAAGGCCCTGCCAGACTCTCCGTGGCCTCGTACCCTGCTGCCGCCTCTTAGGGGGTGACAGAGCCCACGCCCCCCCTTTCTCATCTGTGCTCTCTCCCTATACTGGGTCTTGGCACAGAAACATGGGTAAAGCAGCCGCCCCAAGAAACACAGCCCTTTCTCCCCGGCCTCTCACTTGCGTGGCCACCGGCCTGGCCCGCCCTCCCAGCCTAGCTGAGCTGGGACCCCTGCTGGTCTTCCTGAGGACACCGGGTCCGGCCATTCTCACCTCTGAGCATTTGCTTGGGGGTGGAGGCACGGCGCAGGACAGCCCCGCAGGTCTGGGAGGGGATGGAGTCCCACCTGCCCGGCAGCCTGCCTGCCTCCAGGTGTGGACTTTACCTCGAGAAGGTCAAGCCTCCTGAGCTGACAGCAGGTGTCCCCGAAATCTGGGAAGCATGTGGATCCACCAGGCTGTCACCTGGGCCTGAACCCCCTTCCTCATCTGTGCTGGTGTCTGGACCACACTGAGGGTGGGGCTATTTGGGACCCTGAACACAGCTGAGCAGGTGAGACCCCAGCCCACCCCCCAATCAGGGAGCCGGGCTGAAGCTCCCACTGCAGGGTCACAGGCAGGCAGGGGCCCCGGCTCCCAGGGACCTTCTGGGATCCTCTTTTGGGATCCCTTTGATGAGTCAGTGTGGTTCTCGGGCTGGGGGTGGGGGCTGCACTGAGTCGCTCAGTTGTGTCCGACTCTTTGCGACCCCATGGACTGTAGCCCGCCAGGCTCCTGTGTCCATGGGATTCTCCAGGCAAGAACTGCAGTGGGTTGCCATGCCCTTCTCCAGGGGATCTTCCCCACCCAGGGATCGAACCCGCGTCTCCTGCCTTGCGGGCAGATTCTTTACCATCTGAGCCACCAGGGAGACCTTCGAGCTCACCTTGGCCCGGAGCGGATACCAGCGGAAGGACTGCGACACTCTGTCTTCGAAGTCCCACGTGGCCAGAGGGATGATCACTTCTCCAAGAAACACCCTCCGGGTGAGCACGCCCAGGTGCCACACGGACACCTGCAGCTGCCGGCTGGCCAGCTGGGCCAGCTCCACCTGGTACTGCGGAGGCGGGCAGAGACAGTGAGCCTGGCCTCACAGCTCCCGGACGAGTTTTAGTCTGTTTCCCACACTGCCCCTGGTTCCATAATGTATCTTTAAAGTCTTAATTAATCTGTTTGTTTTCTGCATGGCTACGAGCCCCGCGAGTGCAGTCCAGACTAACAGTCCACCACACAGCATCTGCGCCCTTTCAGAGACAGGTGCTTCGGGGAGCAAAGCTTTCGGTCCCCCGGGTCTGCCGGCCTCAGGGCACCTCTGCACGCTGGGCGGCCCCCCTTGACCCCTTGCTGCTCTCAGGGGCCTCCCTGACTGGTGGCCCCTTCCTGACAAAACAGGACGACTCCCTTTGGCTGACCAGGCCACAGTGCACAGTAAGACCTACTTTCCATTGCCGGCAAGGCCCTCGAGGCTTGCTAGTCTCCACGGGGCACCAGCGTCACCGACCTCAGAGAACGAGGGTTAAGGTCACACCACTGTCACTCAGATCGAGTGTCACGGTTCACCCTTCCCCAGCCCCCCAGTGAGTGGTACTCCAGGGGAGCACCCACACCCCGTGGAGCACAAGAAGTCTCCGAAGGAGTGCTCTGCTGAGAAAACGGAGGGTCGGTGTTCAGATCCTCAGCTTTCACATGCACATTCCTCAAAATCGGTGAAACCTGATCTCTTACTCCTGTGACCTCCGGGGAGCTGAACTAAGGGGTCTGAGATCCTAGTTTCCAACACACTGTTCATGATTGCTCGGCTTCTTCATCAGCCCATCTTTCCATCTTACATATGATTTCTATGAAAGTCTAAAGCTGGGTCCATGTTGGGATGTTCTACATTTAGAATAAAGATCGGTTCTTCTCAATGTATCTGGGAAGTCTTATAGGATAACCAAGATACTCACAATATACTAGATAAAACACTGCACATGAGTTGAGATTCTGGGTGCCCCTTAACTAAGGTAGTGAAAACTTTATCAAAGTATATAATACTTATCTAAACTATAGTCAATCCTCATCTTTGTCTCATTTCATAAAATATGAGATATTTGTCTGCCTCTCTTCAGTACAAAAGACCTTAAACGTGTGACGAGTAATTTTATGTGTAAGCTCACAATGTGTGACACAGCACAGAGCTTTTCAAAATTCTGGTACGTAAGCAAAGCCACATGAAGACCAGGGTCAGTGATTTGCTTCTGGAGGAGTATCCCAGACCAGTAGCACCTCGGGCCCCATCCATACTTACTGAATCACAAATGAAAAGAAAGTTGCTAAGTCATGTGTCCAACTCTTGCGACCCCATGGACTGTAGCCCACCTCTGTTCATGGGATTCTCCAGGCAAGAATACTGGAGTGGGTTGCCATTTCCTTCTCTAATCTGCTTTTAAAAGCAATTCCTTGGGGAGTCCTTATGAATGTAAATTTTGTGAAGGACTGCCTGTCCATCCTGGGTCATGGGTGTACTTTTAAGGACTCTCTAGGCTTCAACTTCCCCATTGCTAAGTGAGGATGCCAACACATGGCTCAGAGGGTACATAAGCACTTGGTCACAGCAGGGGCACAGAAAACAATGACTATTTTCATGTCCCGAGTGGAACTCTTGTGCCAGCTGCCCAGATGGCCCCTGGCTGGGAGTTAACAAATGCCCCTACTGGCCAAGGAAGGCAAACAAATTCCTCTCTCTTCTCAGGCCTGACGCGTGGAATCCCTGGGCTGACGAGCCTTCAGCGGGTACATCTCCGTGCATCTGGACTGTCCTTCCAGCTCAAGGCCTCCCACGCCTGTATGCTCTCTACCCTCACTGGACATCACCTGCAAATTCTCCGCCCTGTATCCCAGTGGGAGGCGGTCCCTCCCTGGTCTCTGCCCTAAGCCACCGGTCACAGTTCTTAGCGCCAAAGAAAATGGAAAGCTGAACAATTCTTCCAGAATTTTTTTTATTTTTTAGTTGTTGCTGTTCCAGCTTTTTGCAACCCCATGGACTGCAGCATGCCAGGCTTCCCTGTCCTTCACTATTTCCTGGAGTTTGGTCAAACTGAGGTCCATTGACTCAGTGATGTCATCCCACCATCTCATCCTCTATTGTCCCTCTTCTCCTCCTGCCCTTAATCTTTCCCAGCATCAGGGTTTTTTTCCAATGAATCAGCTCTTCGCATCAAGTGGCCAAAGTATTGGAGCTTCATAAAAGAAGGAGAGACCTGGGTCTGCCAGATACTATGACAAAGAAGTACTTTCACAAATATATTAACTCAGCAGTTTCATTTACAGGGCCCCTGGTTTGAGGATTCCTCTCTAATAGTCATAGAAATTCAACAGAACAGACCAATTTTAGAAACTGAAGTCACTCGGTCGGGTCCGACTCTTGGCGGCCCCAAGGACTGTGGACTACCAGACTCCTCCGTCCATGGGACTTTCCAGGCAAGAGTACTGGAGTGGGTTGCCATTTCCTTCTCCTTTAGAAACTGTGAGGCAGCCCATTTCTTTTTCACCTTTGTTTTGCAAATCATTAATCCAAAGCCATGCACCGTCCATCAGACTCAGCACTTTTTCTGTACAAAGGCTGAAATTTACTTTCTACCACTTGCCACTGATTGACAGAGCCCTGCCAGAATATTTCAGTGTCTGCACTTACATTTAACTGACTCAAGAGTTTGGAGGAACCACTGGCTGGACTCTGGTCCCAGAGGCCCAGCCCGGGATGGGGACATTCAGCCCAGCAGCATTTGCCCAGCAAGTACCTTCAAGGTCTCCTGAAAGGTCGGCTCCACCGTGTTCTTCTGGACGCTGGTCTTGCGTTTTCCCTGGGACGATCTGTCAGGTAGCAGATAGGTCTTGACGTACCTGGTGGCCAAACGCAGACAGCCAGGGGTGAGAGCCCAGCGTGTGGGGCGGGCAAAGGGTTCAGGAGGAGAACCGCATGTCAGCGGTTTCTTGAACGCCGCTTCCCGCTGCATCTGGGGTTGACAGAAAGGGCTTAGCGGCCGCCCCAGTGACAGTGCTGGGAGCACAGCCCCGGCTTACAGTCTTTGGCTGTGTATGTTTCTGGGGGTGTGAAGCCCCCTGTTTCTCTCATGCCCCCATCCCCGGATCTGGATCCCTCATCACGCACCATCACTCATCACTGGTGATGCCCTGGGAAGCGGGGGCTTTCTGGGGGCTTGGTGGGCGGCAGGTTTCTCATCCACCCGGATCCTGAGGCCTGTGCCAGCTTGTCCTCACTCCGCCTGCCTCTTCTCCCCAACCCTCAAGAAAAAAACGTGGAAATGGAAAGTACATGCCGCACGCCATGCTCGTCCTGTGGGGCCTCGGACACTGCGTCCTGACGGCTGAGGACTGGCCTCCCTGAGCCCCTCTCCCCGGGTCTGGAGGCCACCCACCCCCTGGAGCCCCGTCCCAGGCTGACCCCTCCGCTCAGGTCCCGAAGCCGTCCTTCCGGGCTTTTCTGGCAGTGGCGCTGATGGTGGGGACACCACGCATCCAGGTCCTGTCCCAACGGGTTAGAAACCAGCCCTGCTCTCCAAAGACCACAGGGAGCAGGAGCCCTCCCCCGGTCGGGGTCCCCACTGGAACCCCAGCCTCAGGCCTCTGCCTCACGTTCGGTCATGCTTCTTACAGAGCAGGACTCAAGGCTCATCACCAACACCTCACTGGTGGTTGACTCAGATCGTTGATCATTACAAGACCTCACACATGGAAAACCAGAGATAGCAAATATATTTATACAGCATAAAGCATTATAATAAAAGACACGCCCATGTTATCTAGCTAAGTCCTCTATTTCCTTTCTTATCATCTGTCTGAATGTTCTGTTACTGAGATTGGAGTATTGATACGTCCAACTATTACTGTAGAACTATTGGTTAGCCAAAGAAGTTCATTTAAGTTTTTCTACAAGATCTTACCCAACATGAATATTCATTGGAAGGACTGATGCTGAAGCTGTAACTTCAATACTTTGGCCACCTGATGCGAAGAACTGACTCATTGGAAAAGACCCTGATGCTGGGAAAGATTGAAGGTGGGAGGAGAACGGGATGACAGAGGATGAGCTGGTTGGATGGCATCACCGACTCAATAGGCATGAGTCTGAGTAAACTCTGGGAGTTGGTGATGGACAGGGAGGCCTGGCGTGCTGCAGTCCATGGGGTCATAGAGTCGGACACGACTGAGCAACTGAACTGAACTACTCAATATTTCTCTCTTCAATTCTGTCCGTTTTTGCTTCTTATATCCTGATGGTCTGTTATTAGATGTACAGACATTTAGGATCATTTTATCATCTTGTTGTATTGACCCTTTTACAAATATATAACGTCCTTTATCTCTTGTAATCTTTTTATTTTTTCTTTTTTATTCTCTTGTAATCTTTTTAGACTTAACGCCTGTTTGTCTGATGATGGTACACCCACCCCTGCTTGCTCTTATTCACCGTCTGTATGCAATATCTTCTTCCATTTGTGTCTTTGGATCTCGAGTGAGTGAGTCTCTTGTAGATGGTATACAGTTACATTCTCTGTTTTTATCCATTCTGCCAGTTTCTGTCTTTTGATTGGACAGTCTAATTCATTTTTATTTAAATTAACTACTAATTGCATTTGCATGTGTGTTCAGGCATGTCTGACTCTTTGTGGCCCTTTGGTCTGTAGCCCACCCGGCTCCTCTGTCCATGGGATTTTCCCAGCAAGAATACTGGAGTGGGTTGCCATTTCCTCCTCCAGGGGATCTTCCCAACCCAGAGAGCAAACCCTGTGTTGATGATAAGAAATATTAATACATCTGTCATTTGCTGTTTCTTTTGCCTTATAGCTTGTGTGCCCTCCGCGTTCTTTTGTGTTTAGCTGATTTTCTGTGGTGAAACATTTACATTCCTTTCTTGCTTGTTTTGTTTTGGCTTTCTATAGCTATTTTCTTTGTAGTTACTAACGGGATTGCATTTTACATCCTAAAGTTATAGCACTAATTGAATTAACACCATGTTAACCTTAACAACTCCTTTTCAGCTCTATCCTCACCTCTTTCCTTTGCTGATGTTACAAAATTATATCTGCATGTGTGTGCTAAAGTCTCCTCAGTCCTGACTCTTTGGGACACTATGGACTGTAGCCCACCAGGGTCCTCTGTCCATGGGATTTTCCAGACAAGAATCCTGGAGTGGGTTGCCATTTCCTCCTCCAGGGGGCCTTCCTGACCCAGGGATCAAACCCGGGTCTCTTACGTTTCCTGCACTGGCAGGCAGGTTCTTTATCACTAGTGCTGCCTGGGAAGCCCATGGGTCCAAAAACAGAAAGTAATAATTCTTTTTCTTTTAAATTATGTCAAAGACCAAGTGTGGAGTGACAAGCCAAAATGACACCCATAATCTTTCAAAAGGTAGTAGTGTCCTAAGTCATATGAAAAACCAAAAGTGGAATTATCTCCCACTGTTTACAATTATGCTACCTTTTGTAATTGCCAGTCTATTTGCCATTATTGAGGTCTTGATTTTTTCGTATGTCTTGAGTTACTGTCTAGCGTCCTTCCATTTCACTTCCAGGGTCATCTTGAGCATTTCTGGCAGGGCAGGGCAGGGGGTAATATACTCCCTTAGTTTTTCTTTAGCTGAGAATGTTGCAAATTCTCCCTCACTTTTGAAGAACAGTTTTGCTGTGTGTTTTGTTTCCTTTTAGCACTTTCTGTCTCTGTCTCTTTAGCACCTACTGCCTTCTGTCCTCTAAAATGTCTGATAAGCAATCTGCTGATATTCTAACTGGGGAGTCCCTAGTACTGACAATTCACTTCTTTCTTGCTGCTTTCAAGAGTCTGTCTTTCAAATGTTTGTTTATAATGTGTCTCTGTGGGTCTCTGAGTTCATCATCGTTGGAGTTCAAAGAGCTTCTTTGATGTTTATACTTATGTCTTTCACCAAAACGGGGAAGTTTTCAGCCATTATTTCTTCAAGTTTTCTCTCTGCTCTGTGCTTTCTCTCTTCTCCTTCTGGTATGTATGTTGCCTATGTTGGTTCACTTCATGGTGTCCCAAAGGTCCTTTAGGTTCTGTTTGCTTTTCTTTAATCTTTTTTCTTTCTGTTCCTCAGACTCAGGAATTCCATTATCCTATCTTCAAGTTCACCTATTCTTTCTTTCACCTGCTCATACTACCTTTGAATTCCTCTAGTGAAATTTTCACTTCAATTATTGTAGCTTTCACAGCTCCAGAATTGTTTTCTTTTTAGGATTTCTATCTCTTTATTGATATTTCTATTTTGTTTTTACATCATGTTTTAAAAATTTTCTCCACATCTTTCTTTAGTTCTTTGCGCATCCTTTAAACTGTTGTTTTAAAGTCTTTGCTGAGTAAACCCACCATCAGATCTCTTTCAGAGAAAGCTTCTGTTATTTATTCTTCCCCTTTGAATGAGCTATACTTTCCTCTTTCAGGGGGCAGTTTTAGGACAATGATTATTCCAATTTTCCTGGAGCAGAAGGTACAGACAGAGGAATAACAGAAGTTAAGACTAGAAAGACAGGAGGGATTTGTGATGGAGAGCCAGCGTGCTTTAGGAACGCAGAGGAGCTACTGAAGGTTTCAGAGCAGAGGAGAGTTTGATCGGACCAACAAAGCACTCCTTTCCCCTCACTGGTACCAAGGGAGAAGGCGGTGGCCCCACTCCAGTCCTCTCGCCTGGAGAATCCCAGGGACGGGGGAGCCTGGTGGGCTGCGGTCCATGGGGTCGCGAAGAGTCGGACACGACTGAGCGACTTCACTTTCACTTTTCACTTTCACGCATTGGAGAAGGAAATGGCAACCCACTCTAGTATTCTTGCCTGGAAAATCCCATGGACAGAGGAGCCTGGTAGGCTGCAGTCCATGGGGTCACGAAGAGTCGGACACGACTGAGCAACTTCACTTTCACTTTTCACTTTCATGCATTGGAGAAGGAAATGGCAACCCACTCCAGTGTTCTTGCCTGGAGAATCCCAGGGACGGGGGAGCATGGTGGGCTGCCATCTGTGGGGTCGCACAGAGTTGGACACGACTGAAGCGACTTAGCAGCAGCAGCAGCAGAAACTGGTACTAAAAATTGTGTGCTAAAAATGTCCCATGTTGGGAAAGAATAAGACCAAAATGTGGGGCTTGCTTTAAACCATACACAGAAAATCAGATCCAGCTCTAACATGAAAGTGTCTAAGTTTGAAAAGACTTCAATAGAAGATAACAGAGAAGAATGTATTTAAAATTTTCAGGTGGAATTCTCCTACAAATTCAAAAGGCAGACATTTTAAAGGAAAAAAAGAATAAAACAGACATTACCAAATTCTCTACAAGAAAAGTTATCACAATGTTAGAAAACAAGTAACAGCTAGGAGAAGACATGTAAGATATGTATAACCAATGGAGAGTTGTATTGAAAATGGATTTTAAAAAAGCCAAACCCCTGTAAATAAATTTTTAAATGACAACTTGATAGAAAATGGGACAAAAGATAATGGATGGGGAGTTCACAGAAGAGTAGTGTACCTTAAGTGATGGATGCATGTATAAAGTTGCTCATCTTCGTTATTAATCAGGGAGATGCATGTTAAAATAATGATATCAATTCACATCTACCAATTGGAAGAAAATTAATCTATTTGTGGGTTGTATGGACAGAATTTTATTTTTCCTACATGGAAAATCAAATTTCCCAGCACCATTTACTGAATTTCACCATTTACTGAATTTCACCATTTACTGAATGTCATCATTTCCACATTGATTATTAATAGCCTCTTGATCATTTATGCTCTCATATATCCTAAGATCTGTATTTGGACTTTTGATTCTGCTCTATTGACCTCCTGTCTGTCCTTGCATCCATGAAGCATTGTTTGAATAACTAAGCTTCATAATAATTCTTAACACATCCTTTTGTTTTTGTTTTTACTATTGCCTTGGTTATTCTTGGACTTTCACTTTTCCATATAAATTTGAGAATCAATAAATCTATTATCACATGCCAAAACTTAGACAAAGAAACTTACGGATTGCACTTTTTCTTCTTTTCCTCTCCAAAGGCAAGGTTCTTACAGGCTCTGATGCATATTTCTAAAGAATGAGTTCTGAGGCAGTAACGAATGGCAAATTCTATCTCTCCAGTGACATTAGCATTGTCAAAATTGCCCATCTCTGTGCAAGTGCTGTTAATGCTGATTAGACTTCCCTGAAATCAAGAATGACAGATAATCACAAGTTACTTCACAGCTAATCAATGTGTGTTTTTGCAGTTCTGGCTTCAAGATATCAAATAAATAAAAATTCACACAGACCACACATCCTGACTCACATTAAGTTAATAAACATGCCATCTTGTACTTTGCACAATGACTTGCCGCATTTTCTGTCCAAAGGAGATGAGGACATGACTCTGAGTAAACTCTGGGAGATAGTGAAGGACACAGAAGCCTGGAGGGCTACCGTCCATGGGCTTGCAAAGAGTCAGACATGACTTAGCTACTGAGCAACAAAAACAACATGGAGATGAGGAATCTTCAGAAGGGCTGGTCTTGCCCAGATATGCTGTTTGCCTAGCCATAAAGGTTACACAATCTCATTCTTGAACACAAACCACTTGGGAAGATGTGAACTGTCTTCTGTGCAATTCTGCAAAGATAAATCTTCAAGGGCAGATAACATCCATGGTACGAATAGCCCTGAGGAGGGCAGCACAGTCTGGGGGCCAAGTGATTGGGAATTCGATAGAGCTGGATTCAACTGCTGGGTTTTGCTAGTCATTAGCCTGTCAAAGTCTAGATGGAAAATTAACACTGTTCTCATAGGGCTGTGGTAAGAAGGAAATGTACTAGAGTATGTAAGAGATAGTCAAGGCTATGGTCTTTCCAGTAGTCATGTACGGACGTGAGAGATGGACCATAAAGAAGGCTGAGTGCTGAAGAATTGATGCTTTTGAACTGTGAGGCTGGAGAAGACTCTTGAGAATCCACTGGATTGCAATGAGATCAAACCACTCAACCCTAAAGAAAATCAACCCTGAATATTCATCAGAAGGACTGATGCTGAAACTGAAGCTCCAATAGTTTGGCCACCTGATGCGAAGAGCTGACTCACTAGAAAAGACCCTGATGCTGGGAAAGATTGAAAGCAGGAGAAGAGGGTGGAAAAGGATAAGGTGGTTGGATGACATCATGGACTCAATGGGCATGAGACTGAGCAAACTCGGGGAGACACAGAAAGATAGGGAGGCCTAGCACGCTGCAGTCCATGGGGTTGCAAAGAGTCGGATACGACTTGGCGACTGAACAACAACAGTGTAAAATATGCAAAGACAATAATAAGTTGTGTTTCAATTGTTGTGGGTCCCCAGAATGAAAAACAAAACCACCAAAAGAACAAAAAAGACAAGAAAGAACAAAATGCCTTATCTCTGTTCAATCTGCTTAAGTATTTGCCACCCTTTGCATGCCACCAGTCTCAGGGTTGACTCTACAGACAGAGGGAATTCAACGTGATTGCCATTCTCCCAGCGGGTTCCTCAATACTGTAAAACATCCTGGGGGAAAAAAAGAAAAAAAAGAAGAAGAAAGCCTGAGTCTCTCTTACTAGAGAGCGATCAAAACAAAACCGAGAACTCCGAACCTGAACTCATGCCAAGAACCCAACCAACTTCACCACACCCAGGTCCTGGCCCTGAAACATGTTATCTGCCTACACCCACACAACTGTTGGGATGGGAAATGTGTTTTAAGCGTTACACACTCAGAAAGGCATGGAGTGGTCAGACCACACAAATGAGGGAGGCACAAGAGTGAAGATGGAAGATGATGGAGAGGGAGGCTTGGCCAAAGGTCTGAGCTGCTCCAGAGAAGATGAATGGAGGTGTTAAGAGTTCTGATAGTTAACCTGGCACTCCTGGTGGGCCTCCACCCCGGGCCACGTCAGACTAGATTGTACTACAGCGACTCTGCTGCCAAGAACACGCTGTTGTTGTTGTTCACTGGGCAACTTGTGTCCAACTCTTTGCGACCTCATGGACTGCAGCAGGCCAGGCTCCTCTGTCCTCCACTGTCTCCCAGGTTTGTTCAGACTCATGTCTACTGAGTCAGCGATGCTATCGAACCAGTCTCATCCAATGAGTCAGCTCTTCCCATCAGGTGGCCAGAGCACTGGGGCTTCAGCTTCAGCTTCAGCATCAGCCCTTCCAAAGAGTATTCAGGGTTGATCTCCTTTAGGACTGTAGAACAAGTAGAAAACTGAATTAAACAAACATGGCTAGCCAAGGCTACTAGGGCAGCCGGGAGGCCAGGGTCCCTGATGCTAAAGAGAAGCTCAGTGAGGGGAGCCTGTGGTCCCGGCTGTGTTTCCCTCGGAGGCATCTGTCCGTCAGTGGGCCCCCGGGCAGGAAGGCCGAGAGGCTCCGGAGCTGGGCACAGTGAACAGCCCAGGTGTCCGGGCCTGTGAGGACGCGTCGAACTTGAGGAGAAAAGGGAGCCACAGGGGGTGAGAGTGATGCTTGATGCCACTTTTCCCTCAGAGTCCTGGCTGAGGTGGAAGGTGACGCTGAGAGGCTGAGCAGCTTAGGAGCGCCTTCAGAAGTTCCATCTCGTTAGAAAGAGGAAATTGGAGTCCAGGTTCCCCACACAGGAGGAGGGGCTTGGTAACTGTCTGGACATTCAGCTGGGACACTCAGGGTCTTTCCTCCTGGGAGTCCGAGGCCCCCGGAGTGGACGAGTCCTCCCAAGGGCTGAAACCCGAGGGGGTGCAGCCCCAGATGGGCCAAGACTGCAGGCCTGCAGCCTGGAGCAAAAGCAGGTCTCCCTGCAGATCACGTCCATCCCTCCCAGGTGACCGGAACCTCGAGACAGCATGTTTCTGCCTCCGTCTCGTCTCCATCGCCCGTCCAGTGCCTGGCTCGTCGTAAATCCTCAGTAAGCAGTTATGAAGGGAACAAAGAAAGCACGTGAAGTATTTTGATTTAAAAAGTTCCCTCCAGGACTTTCCCTGGTGGTCCAGTGATTAAGGGTTCCCCTTACGATGCAGGGGACATGGGTCCAACCCCCGGTTAGGGGACTAACCACCCCCTCCCCGCCCCGCCATGCTGCAGGGCAGCCAAACCTGACAGCCTCACACCCCAGTCAGAAAGTCCGTGTGCCACTACTAAGACCCGGTACAGCCAGATAGATAACCGTCTTTTAATTCTCGGGGAAAGGAAGCTCTGTCTGCAAAGACTGGAGTGATGCTGTGTGCCGTGTCCTGCTGCAGCAGCAGACCTGAGTGAGAGGACTTAGCTGGGAGCCTGGCCTCGGGCGCCTTTACCCTCAGCTGCAGAGTCCAGAGGGAAAGGATTAAAATACAACTGCCTGGGGGACGCCCCTGGTGGTCCCGAGGTTAAGATCCTGTGTGCTGCCAATGCAGGGGATTCAGGTTCGATCCCTGGTCTGGCAACAAAGTCCCACGTGTCGTAAGCTTAACCAAAAGATTAAACGAAATGAAACAAAACCCTACATGCAGGCACATCATAATAAAATTTCTGAAAATCCAGGACAAAAAGAGAAATTTTAAAACTAAAGGAAAAGAAGCTATGTTACCTCCCATGGAAGAACTAAAAGGGGCAGGAGAGGGTGGAGTCCAAGCCCTGTTGGGGAAACGGGCACCTTCTGTCTGGGCAGGAAGGGGAGCTGGGTAGGTGCAAACTGGAGCAGGTTAACTTTGGTTGTCAGGAGGATTCGAGAATTTCAGGCTAGTTTTTTTTTTTTTTTTTTTCCTTTTTGAGAAGTGGGAAGGGAGGTTTACTTGTCAAGCATGAGAAGAAAGAGCAGGGAGAAGTTCTAAGTGAAGTGAAAGTCTCTCAGTCGTGTCCGACTCTTTGCGACCCCATGGACTAGCGGGTAGCCTTTCCCTTCTCCAGGGGATCTTCCCAACCCAGGGATCGAACCCAGGTCTCCCGCTTTGCAGGTGGATTCTGAACCAGCTGAGCCACAGGGAAGCCCCTTGAAGAAGGGGTGACATGCTTGTTGTGAGAGTGGGAGACTGAGTCTCCCAGAGACACGCGTCAGCACGGTTGGCCCCGTGCCATAGTTGGGGCTGGTGACACGGCAGGGCGGACCTGGCCCCTCACACTCACACTGGGCTTCAGGTCTGCCCTACTATGCGCACACCTACTCAGGGGCAGGGATGCATATGCAGCACAGCTGACTCAGCCAGCCTGGTGTCCAGAATCATAGAGCAGCCGGGAAGCACTAGAAACACTCATCCTTCACTGTGTAAGATAAGCAGAGGTCAAAGAAGGTTGAGACCCACCCAAAAACTACAGGGCAAATCAGAAGTAGCAGCTGGAAGTGGGCCCGGGTTCTTCATTCCTTGGGCGGTTGACTACTGGCAGTGTCTCTGAGTAACCCAACGGCGTATCTGCTTGGTGGGGAAAGTGCAGCCGCAGATAACTGAAAGGCCAGTAGGGCGCGTCCTTTGGTCTTCTGCATTCTTTCAGCGATAACTCAGGGCTTCACCACTGGGAGGGTTTTCTCTGCTTCTGTTTTCCCTGTAGACAGATCAGGATCTCCAAGAAAGTTGAGCCTCTGAGCAGTAAACAGGGTTGATGGAGAGGTGCTGGCCTAGAAGAACATCTAAGAACCCAGACTGACTTTTATTAGAGCCTGGGGCTCTTGTCTGGCTGTGAAAAGAAAAGTCTCAGCAAAAAGCAAAGGAGAACTCATTAAAGCGGGCAGGGAGCCTGTGGTGACTTTCTCTGAAGGTCACGCGTTATCTGCTGTAACCGCAAGCAAGGCCTCCTGATGCCCTTTGATTTTCACAAAGGTAGAAATCAAGGAAAGTCAACTGAAACCACAGTTATGTTAAAACAAATAAATAGATAAATCTTGATTTCCCCAAGAGCATGGGGAGAGCATTACCACCGGGAAGTCAGACAGCGGTGGTGGAGCCAAACACACGTCCCCCAGGCCCTGACACGTAGTGGCTATGTGATCTTGAGCACTTTTCTCATCCTCCACAGCCTCGGTTTCCTGATCTGTAGAGTGGGGATCTATTTCATAGGATTGGTGTGAGGCTCAATGGCTATTCTGTGTGAGAAAAAGAAAACTAAGTACCGTGCCTAGGCTTAGTGAGTTTATTCAGCTTTTGAAACCAAATGATGTGGTCACTCTTTGTAAGCTGAGTGGATCATGTCCTTTTTTCTTTTTCTTTCCTTTT